AGGTTCGCCTATGGAGCTCTCAACTGAGCCGCGCTTGCCTTGTCAACGCTATGGCGGCCTCTCACCTTGCCGATCGCTATCTCTTGGCGGGTAGCCGATCAACTCGTAACACGCTTCCCGCTGATGGCCAATTTTTAGGCAGTGTGTCCACCTCGGACGGTCACGATCCCCTGAACCTTTAGGCTGCTTGTCTCCATCACCACGTGTGTTGAACGCGGCGGCCTCAGGTTGTGAACGCCGACTTTGGGAGATCGCTTTCTGCTGTTCTTCGTTCAATACAATATTGAAAGCTTCTGGCAGTGATGGCGTGGGCTTCATTGCCAGGACTTAAGATCGTACAGCTACGAATGCGTCATCAAGTCCCATCAAGAAGTCGAAGAGCCTATAGTGATCCTGCTGCTCACGGACTCTTCGCGACATGCCACATGTGCATAAACCACACGTACAGCTTGGTGTGGGGGAAATAGCAGTTGCTTCTTCCCATAATCCTCTTAGTTTCGTATAGAACGAGGAGACTGAGTGCTTTTCTTGCAGCAGCAGACTCACAAGCCGCCGAAGCTCGTATGCCCGAGAGGAGCTGCCTTGGCCGAATCGCTCGAGGAGGTCTGCCTAGATTGCTCGAGACGTCTCAGTAAACCGAATACTGCTTCAAATTTCTTTATCCATCACAGTCTTCAACCATCCTTTCACCATTGCAATGCAACGAATCCATGCATTACTCTCAATAGGATTCGATGGTTTGGGTAACGTCCCATCAACAAAACGGAACTTATTCTCTGCGATCAAGGCATCTTTCATGTCAAGTTCCCAGTTTCCGTAGTTGGAGGCTGACAAAATTTCACCGAACATCATCTTACCCGGGCCATCCGAATTGCTGGCGGTGAGCTGAAGTTCTTTGTTTCCAACACTTTCTTCCCCATCTTTGTCCATGGTGAATTAATCAATGATCTGCTGGAACTCGCAGCTCTGATACCATGATAAATCGTAAGAACGCAATTGAGAGAAGACGATTTTAACGTGGTTCATTCTCACGTTGTGTGAGACTTACATCCACAGAATGTAGGTTTTTCTTATTAGTTTGTTTGGCCAATGGCCTTACATTCATATATATACCCATCAACAGGATTAGCTAGGGCATTAACACCACGTATGTGGAAATCGGTAAAGCAAGGAGAATGATTCCTTGCTGGACACGGCTTATAAAACACGCCCGCAGCATGTGAAGCTGGCTGGGCCTCGCTACTCTTCTTCGGCCCAATAAAAGCATTTCCCCATTCTAAATAAAAGAAAGCTCTAGCTCAATACAAGCTGCCCGCCAAAGTGTATTAGTAATTTTATTTTGACAAAAAGTCCTGTTTCAGAATGTTAAATTTTGAGCCTTCCGATGAAATGGACCTGAACTGTGCTCGGGTTAGAAAGAAGAAGATCTGAACTTTGTTTCAGCCCAGGAATAAAAAAATGGGTGTTGGGCCACTCCATGGGCTTTAAGACGCAGTCCAAACTGACACAGTTTTGGTTATAAATAACCTAGACGATTGTAGCTGAGGTAGCAAGTCCTCGCCAGACAATTCTCCTTCCCATCCCACCTTAAAATCTCGCCGCCATGGTTCTTATTCAGCCAAGGTCTAGATGACCGTTTTGCTTTCTTTCCTGCCCTTTCAAAACCCTGATGCAGTCCAGTTGCCATGATCAGAAGCTATTTACAGTTTCTGTTTTGCTGTGATTTGCAGCTGGACTGGTTGTTAATTGTGGTTAAGATGTCGCTTTTTCAAAATGTTTTCTGTGTCATAAAGGATGGAATGGCGTGATGAACGAACATATGTTTCCCTATTGGTTTGATCGCCGTGATGATGGCTTCTCACGAACTAGATCTGATCCATTCTACTCTTTTCATGCCTGGTTTCCTGCTCTGCTTTTAAAATTCTTCTCTGAAACTGTAATTACCCTTTACTGATTAAATATCTTTTAAATGAGAATCTTTGTTTGCTGGGAGATGGAAGTGAGGAACTATTATTTGCCTTTTGGTTTGAATGCCTTGATGATGGCTGACCTTTGTATTAGCTCTATCTGATCATATCTCTCAGCAAATTGTCTCTCTGTTTTTGTGTTTCTTTCGTCGAACCAGTGGACATTGATTTTTGTAGAAACAAACGGTTCTAGCTGCTGTTGTTTTGACCCGTGATATTCCGGTGACGATGAAAATTTAGTAATATGAAATTAGCTTACCAGTTCGCGTCACTAATAATATTATTTATAATGAAATATAATATAAAATTTCAAATTATTATAGTACTAATTAATGCAAATATACACATTGAGAAATAATTAAGTCCATTTTTAATGAGAATCTCACGTAAGTTTTTTATAATATTGCAAAAACACAAATTTTCTATTTCTAATGATATTTCTTCTGTAACTATATTTAGTTTAGGTCCAACACACTAGATTACGTTTATTTCAGCTGGGCTAAGCTCTATTTGGGCTGTCACAAATTAATAAAACCAACCATTTTAATTGATTCTAGCTTGTTTTGTAGTTGTTTTAAGCCTAGCCCACTAAAAAAGCTAGTAAGTAGAGAAAAGAAACAGAGAGCCACACAATCTCTCTCCCATCTCATTCGTCTTCTCCTTATCCTTATCTCTTCTCTCTTTTTGATAAGGCCTTCTTTCTTCTCTCTTCTGCAAATCCAAATCCCTAAACTCATTTGCAGAGGCAATTGGTTTTTGAGTTAGGTTGTTGTACTACCACTTTCACCGCTATCCAATCTATTGTAATCAGCTTTAACTTTCTACTCTACTTTCTCGCTGCCAGTTCATTTCCTTTTGCATGCACTGCTATCTCAGTGATGATTCCGTCATTCAATCGGCCATCACGACAAGTTTGAAGAAGAGCTTTAACCGAAGAAGGTTCTGGTAGAGATCCCAAGAGGACTAACTTGAAGAAGGTTCTGCATCACCGAAATTGCAGTCTTGTGCCGATTGGAAAAGGAGAGCAGAAGACTAACTTGAGTTTCTGAAAAGAACGCGCTCCCAAAACCCAAGTTCGCGCTCCCCCAGAAAATAATTCGCGATTTATTCACGAATTCCAGAAAATCCGCGTTTTGACGGATTAGAGCGGGAGCGTGAGGGTGAAGTTGACGAATTGTGTGACCTAAATATGAAACCGAATTGTTATTCGTCGCTCTAATTTTTAAAAATTATCGTCCTAAATTATATTGAATTGACATTTATACCCCGACTTAAATTTTTCCTAATCCTTACCTCCTTGTTGCGTCCCGCCCACCAGTCAATTGCCGGTCGCCGCCGCTGTTTCCCAGAACCCAAACCCGCCGCAACTCCCATTCCCCCATCCAACTTCGTTCTATCTTCCCACTGCCTATCTTCCCAAATTCATTTCCCTTTCCCGTCTCCATCAAATCGCTTTAAACAAATATACTAAAATTAAAAGAAATAAAGAAAGAGAAAAGAAGGAAACAGAAGGCAAAGAAACTCCATTTCCCAAATTCGATGCTCGTAGCTTGCCGCTGCCGAAAAAAGAATTTGGTAAGCTTCCCAATCATCTTTTTTTGGGCTAAGGATACCGATGCTGGAAATGGGTTGAGTTCCCGTGTTTGGACTTGCTCGGCCCGGCCTCTCTTCCCATCGTTGGAATTCATTGATTGATGGTGGTCGGCGGTTGGAATGGGGAAGGAGGGAATGTATCCAAAATTAATGAGAAGGGTAAGAGTGTAACTTTATTATGGTTTAGGGCGATAAATTCAAATATTTAGGGCGACGAATAGCAATCCCCATATGAAAATTTACATGAATGAGCTGAACAGAGGGCATGGTGCTCCCTGTCGCTGCACAGGTTGAGGAACCATTTGCTCTCTAGTTTCATGTACCGGGTGGAATCTAGGCGAAAAGCCTAGGGATCTCAAGGCAATCAAACTATTATAATTAGGGCTGGAAGTTTAGTACTGGTATTTGGGATAAACCGAATACCGTATCGAATTTGACTATTTGTGGTATTACCGAATACACGTATTATTTTGTGGGATTGGGATTGAGTTTCAATTGTTATTCGGTATTAGGGATTATGGGATTGGGATCGGTATATACCGAAATATCGATCAATACCGAAATATAAGCTAGTGTGTATTTTATCCTCTCAACTAGCTCTCTCATTCACTACTACGTGGCCCTCAACCAGCAAGAGTGTCATTTAATTATACATAGATCATTACATCCCTATTTCACACTAGGATTAGTCGTCTCTCAACCTCAAATTCATCAAATTAAAGATTACTAATTACAAAAACTTGAGATGTTAGCTCTAGGCAACTTAAGACTCTTTACTTAGTCTCTTTGTCCTAAATTAAAAAATAAAATCTAATTTAAATATATAATTATTAAAGCCAAGTGCAATTAATTTTGTATTTGATAATACCGATTGGAATACTGAGGTACCGATTGGGATACTGAAATATTTAGGGATAGGGATTGGGATACCGAAATTATTTAGGGATTGAGATTGATTTCAGGGTGTAATTCGGTATTCAGAATTTCAGTATTTGGTATTGGGATACTGATACCGTACCGATTTCCACCTCTAATTATAATGCCTTTTGGTTCCTCCGCCACCTCCAAATGAAAGCACTATAGAGTACGGAATAGACTAGAGTAAAGTTGAGAGAGAAGAGGACTTTATTCTATTATTAGTTTTGAGAAGGATTTATATTATATATATATATGAGATCGTCCAACAGTATTAAACAACTAATAAGAGAATAAAGGAACGTGAACGTCATGGAGTTACTGACTTTGACGAGGTAAACTTGTTTGGTTGTTACACTTAATATGCCCCCACAAGATGAAGTCACTGTAGGAGATGCCAATCTTGGGATGGAGAGAATGGAAACGCGCCTTGGAGAGTGGCTTGGTGAGTAGGTTGGCTAGTTGACATGAGGAGGGTAGGTGTCGAACTGCGAGTTGACCTTTTTCCACACAATCACGTACAAAATGGTAATCAACAGCTATGTGTTTCATCCGGAAATGGAAGACTGGGTTGGAGTTGAGATAAGTGGCGCCAAGGTTGTCTCAGAAGAGGACCGGTGCAACGGTGGAACACATGTGAAGCTCAGGCAGAAGAGAGCAATGCCAAGCCAGTTCAGCTGCGGCAACCGCAATGGCTTTGTACTCTGCCTCGGTGGAGCTACGAGCTATGGTTTTATGTTTCTTGGATGCCCATGACACTAGAGTGGAACCAAGATAGACAATGTAAGTTGTGGTGGAGGACGATTGTCCAAGTTACCCGCCCAATTAGCATCGGAGAAAGCCTGAAGATGAAGTCGTGCCACCGCGAAGAAGGAAATTCCATAGTTGAGGGTGCCCTTTAAATATCGGAGGACATGCTTGACAACCTGTCAGTGAACCTCTCTAGCACGGTGCATGAATTGAGACAAACGGTTAACGGCAAAGCTGATGTCTGGACGAGTAAAATAGAGATACTGAAGGCCTCCGAGGATGCTTCGATAGGTGGGGTAGTCAGTTGAAGTTGAGCCATCATCCAATCGTAATGGAGAGGTGGATGATAAAGGAGTGGAGTTGGGCTTGGCCTCCAACATGGATGCCCGGTCCAGGAGATCAGCTATGTAATTGTGCTGAGTGAGGTGGGCACCAATAGGGATGAGAACAAACTTGAGGCCGAGAAAGTAGTGTAGATCACCCAAATACTTGAGAGAGAATCGAGCAGCCAACCATTGTATAAACGTGTTGACCGTAGTGGGCGCATGAGCCGGTGATGACAATGTCGTCGACATAAACCAGGATATAGATGGTGACGGTAGATTGTAACAACGAGACGTCGGACTTCGCTTGGTGGAAGCCTGACTGGAGAAGGAAGTCACAAAGAGCATGATACCAAGCACAAGGTATTTGCTTCAGACCGTAGAGAACGGTGTAACCTCCATACAAAGGACGGGTTAGCGGAATCAACATGTCCCAGAAGTTGATCCATGTACACTTCTTCGTTGAGGACACCATTGAGGAAGGCGTTATTGATATCTAGTTGACGAATCGGCCAACCTCGAGCAACAGGAATTGCGAGTATGACATGGATAGTGGCCGGCTTCACTACCAGGCTGTAAGTGGCATTATAGTAGAGGCCATGACGTTGATGGAACCCTTTGGAAACCAGACGAGCTTTGTATTGTGCAATGTACCCGTCAGCGTTATGCTTGATGCAGAAGATCCACCTGCAACTAACGACATGAGCATGTTCTGGACGGGAAGTCAATGTCCAAGTCTGATTAAGACCAAGTGCTCGTAGCTCTTCTTGCATGGCTTGACACCAACGAGGATCGCGAAGTGCCTGTCTCACACTGGTGGGTTCTACGCAAAGTCCTACTCTCGGTCGAACCCCAACTCTTAGCCCTATGCCTTTTCCTCCCAACCCACCATCAAATTCACATATCCCAATTACACAACCATCCACAATTACACAACCATCAAGATGTGAGGGATCTAGAAGATGGGGTAAGAGAAGCAAACGGGATATGGAGTTCATCGAAAGCAACATGACGGGAGTGATAGACTCGACCAGAACGAGGCTCAACGCAGAGGTAAGAACTTTTTGTATAATTTTAACCTAAGAAGACACATGGTTGGGACCGTGGGGCAAGTTTATGGGAGGAGTACACACGAAGGTACAGGAAGCAAAGGCAGGCGAACACCTAGAGTTTGTTATAGTTGGGGGCAGAGTGGAATAACTTCGAATGAGGGGATTTATGGGACAGGAGAGGAGTGGGGAGTTTATTGATGAGCTAGATAGCATCGCGGAACGCATAGGTCCAGTATGTGACCGGTATGGATGCTTGATGTAGCAGGAAAGCAGGAAATTCATAGACACCATTTCTAATGCGTTACCGAAGAAGAGGAGTCCCGCACAGCTGCGATTTGACAACAAAAGAGGTAGGAAAGAATTCAACATAAGCTTGGTTAGAGGCACAAAATTGGGAGAAAGATATGAGGTTTTGGGATATGGATGGGGAGCAAAGGACATTATCAAGGGCAAAGGTACGCTTATGGAAAGAAAGGGACATAGAGCTAGTGTGCGATATAGGCAAACCTGATCCGTTACCAATGGCGATGGTGTTAGGGCCATTTTATTTCTCAGCGAGAGCTAGGTTGGCGAGGTCGTCGGTGATGTGATGAAAAGCAGCCGAGTCAAGGAGCCAGGAGGTAGTGCTGGTTGTTGCATGGACTTGTGGCTGACTGGGACGCAACTCTAGATGTATGCGGTAGCATGTCCTCGCTGTATGACCAACACGCTGACAATATTGACACACCGGCCGATTAAAAGGAGACACATGAGATTATGGCATCGAACGTGAGGCCGTGGGTTGGGGCCCAAGAACAGAAGCTGGATGAGGGTTGGAGAGAGGAGATTGACGGCCACCAGGACTGCCGCGGGGCTGTCGAGCTGTTGAGTGAGCAAGGGGCGAATGAGATAGAGTGGCGGTGCGTTGCAGATAATCATCATAGCTGACCAGTTTGTCATAGAGCTCGTCGAAAGTAGGTGGATTGTCACGAGCACGGATGGCAGCAGCAATCTCCTTGAAGTCAGAGTCGATGCCGTGAAGGGTGTGTATGACAAGATCCATATCGCTAACAGGATCGTCGATGAGAGCCAGCTCGCAAGCAAACCCCTTGATTCTTCTTTTTCTTCCTCAAAAACTTCTAAGTGTGCTTCAGTGTTCTTAAATCTAGAACCTAAAGTGGTGATAGTTTTATCCTACGAATAAATTTCCTGTAACCCAAGGCTTTGTAGAGGGTGGAAATATTCTTTACGGAAAGTTAAAGTAGTTGACGACTCTATCATAATCCTAGTCACCCTGTTTTGGGCTATCGTCCGTACACCATCGTACAAAAAAGTTCCAACAATCGTAATGAATATTTCTCATACGATGGCTCGTACTTCTCCCTACAAGGAACCTTATGTCCTTCCTATGGTAAATTGGATGATGAACGAGTCGGAGATAAGGAAAGTAAGCGGCGGTAAATAATTAGTACTCCATATCCATGTTTACGGAATGTAAAATAATGTCTTGAATCTTTGGGATGCATTAGAAGCCAAGTATATGGCCGATGATGCATCTAGCAAGAAGTTTCTTGTGAGTATTTTCAATACTTACAATATAAGAGGTTCTCGCCCGGTGATGGAGCAATATAATGAATTGCTCCGGATCTATGGTCAGTATAGTCAGCATAACCTGAACATGGAGGAGACAATCGTTGTGTTGAGCATAATCGACAAACAATCACCTTCTTGGAATGGCTTTAAGTACATGCTTAAGCACAAGAAGGAAGAGCTGGATTTAACCCAACTCGATACCACCACTTGTGCACAGAGGAGAACCTCAGGGTACAAGAGGATGTGAAACCAAAGGAATATTCATCGGTTCACATGATGAAGATTGGAGAATCTTCTCCCTAGGAAAAGGGAAAGAAACATCCTCGTGACAATTGCAACAACTCATCTAAGGCCATCAAAAACAAGAAAGCTAAACCTTTTTGTTGGACATGCGGGAAACCGGGGCATTTCAAGCGTGATTTTCCCGTGGAAAAAATAAAAAATAAAGAAAATCGTCATGTTGGGCAAGGATATAATGATCAAGGCAAACAAGGTCGAATTCCTACTTTTGATTCTAATTTCGAATTTGATCCAAATTCGGGTATGAATTATGTTTCACTAATTAATGAAGTATATTTTGTACAGGATGATGACGTTGTTTGGTGGGTGGATTCTGGAGCCCACATACATGTAAGCAAGGATCGGAATTGGTTCAAAACTTACAAACCAATGGATGACGGTTTTGTTCTCCACATGGGCAATGAGTCCACTGCTCCACTCCTAGGACGTGGTACCATGGAGTTGGAATTTACTTCCGGAAAGATTCTTTTTCTTGGGGATGTGTTACATGTGCCTAAGATTAGAAAGAGTTTGGTTTCTGGAAATGTACTCAATAAACTTGGGTATCATCAAGTTTATGACTCTGATAGATATATATTATCTAAATCCGGAGTGTTTGTTGGACTTGGTTATTATAATAATGGTATGTTTATGCTAAATATTATCAATAAAAATAATATTACCATTTCTGCATACATGACTACCACTATCAATTTGTCTTTGTGGCATGCACGATTGGGACATGTGAATTACAAGCGAATGATGACAATGTTTAAGGAGGGACTTCTCCCTTCCTTTGATTCTCAACATGATAAGTGTAAAACTTGTATGTTGACGGAAATAACTAGACAATCGTTTAAACACATACAAAGGGAGTCCAATGTACTTGGACTTGTACATAGTGATCTATGTTATTGACATAGCACTCCTACTTTAGGAGGGAAGAAATATGTCATCACCTTTATTGATGACTATTTCAGGTTGTGTTATGTTTACTTGTTGCAAACTAATGATGAATCACTTAGTCACTTTGGTATATATAAAAATGAAGTGGAGTTACAACAAGAAGCAAAGATCAAAACTTTGTGTACGGATCGAGGTGGTGAATACTATGATTCGACTTATTTCCAAGGTACGAGGATCATACATGAAACCTCTGCACCGTTTATCCCTCAACAAAATGGGATAGCGGAGAGGAAAAATCGCTCTCTAAAGGAAATGGTTAATTCCATGCTCTCGTACTCTGGCTTGAGTAATGGGTTTTGGGGGGGGAGCTATGCTAACGACTTGATATTTATTAAATAGGGTTCCTAATAAAAGGAATGTTATTACCCCCTATGAACTATGATATAAAAGAAATCCAAACTTGGAATATTTTTTAGTTTGGGGTTGTTAGGATGTCGTGATCCTAAAATGAAGACTTCAGGACAAAGAGGCATTGATTGCATCTTTGTTGGATATGCTGAAAATTCTAAGGCATATCGATTTTACGTTATAGAACCAAAATAACGCTTACCCAATTCATTCTATAATTAAGTCAAGAGACGCAATTTTTTATTAAAAATTGATTTTCATCAATGCGACGACTGAAGGACATAGTTCCTCATGCTAATAAAGGGATTGATGAAGATACTTCCCAATTAGATTTACCCATTATTCGTCAAAATAAAAGAAGAAAGATTGTGAAATCTTTTGGACCATACTTTCACATGTATCTTATGGAAGGGTCAAGAGAGGAAGTATATTCGCAATATTTATATTCATTTAATAATAAGGATGATCCTAAAACGTTTGATGAGGCTATGAAGTATCATGACACTGCCTTTTGGAAGGAAGCCATTAATGATGAAAAAGATTCCATCATGGCGAACAATACATAGGTGTTGGTAGATTTACCATCAGAATGCAAACCATTGGGTAGTAGATGGATCTTAAAAAATAAAATAAGATTCCATGGGACCACCGACAGTTTAAGACGTGTTTGGTAATCCAAGGTTTTAGACAAAAACATGGAATTGATTACTTTGATATTTATGCGCCTGTTGGTCGAATCTTCATCATTAGATTGTTGATTTCTCTAGCATCAATTCACAATCTAATTATCCATCAAATGGATTCAAGACAACATTCTGGAATGGAGATTTGGATGAAGAGATTTACACGAAATAACCCGAAGGATTTGTTGTGCCCGGTCAAGAGCATAAAGTATGCAAGTTGATCAAATTTTTGTATGGGCTTAAACAGGCTCCAAAACAATAACATCAAAAGTTTGATGGTGTTTTTGTCTAGTGGTTTTAAGCTAAACCAAGTTGACAAATGCGTATATACAAAATTTGATGATTTTGGTAATGGAGTCATCATATGTTTGTATGCAGATGACATGCTTATCTTTGGTACTAATCAAATACAAGTGAACCTCACCAAAGAGTTTTTGTCATCTAAATTCTCCATGAAGGCATGGGGGAGGCAAATGTGATTTTGCATATCAAAATCAAGCGAAACGACAAAGAAGTAGCCTTGTCTCAATCTCATTGCATTGAGATGGTACTTGCTAAATTTCATTGTGTAAGTTGTCCTAAATAAAAAACCCCAATGGATCAAAGTATGAAACTTTTGCCTAATACTGGGTAATCAATTTCACAATTGGAATACTCTAATGTTATTGGGTTCTTGATGTATGCAATGACTTGCACACGATCAGATATCGCATTTGTTGTTGGAAAATTTAGTCGGTATACGAGTAATCCTAGTGTTAATGATTGGCATGCAGTGAGACGTGTACTCGGATATTGCAAAGGCACAATGCATTATGAATTGACTTATAGTGGATTTCCATCTATTTTGGAAGGATACAATGATTCCAGTTGGATTTCTGATGTTCAAGATCACACTTCAACATCAGGGTAGGTCTTCTTGCTTGGGGGAGGTGTTATCTCTTTGACCTCTAAGAAGCAAACTTGCATCACTAGTTCCACTATGGAGTCGGAGTTTGTGGCCTTGACTTCTGTCGGAGGAGAGGCTGAGTGATTAAGAGACTTGGTTTATGACACTTCTTTATGGCCGAAACCAATCTCACCAATTTCTATCCTTTGTGATAGAATGCTACTTTGTCTAAGGCATATAGCCAAATGTATAATGGCAAGTCTCTCCATTTGGGAGTTACACATAGTAAAATCTATGAATTGATCACTAACGGAGTTATTGCTATACAATATGTCCGGACTCTAGAGAATTTAGCTGATCATTTGACTAAAGGTTTAGCTAGAGACTTGGTTGTCAAGTCTGTTAAAGGGATGGGTTTAAAGTCCATTTAATTTTTTGATCATGGGACACCCAATTCCCCTCTAATGCAACGTTAGAGGCCGAATTCAATGAGGAAAGCTCATTATAAAAAATTGAAGCACATAATACATCATCTCAAAGTATTTGCTTGTTATCCTGCATGAGATAAGAGGATAAAGTTTAAAACTTCTTAATTGAATCTTTCAGAAACTGCATTATGAGGGTACACTAATAAAAGATTTAACCTATGTACGATGAAGTACAGCCGCTTCAAGAAACCCAGACTTTGGTTTCGTGTGCGCTTATGAGAAGGATTGGGACACATGACAGATAATAGTGTCAAGTTTACTTAGAAGTTTTCAAAACTTAAGTGTATATTATCTTCGAATATTCATTTAAGTATATGGGTTCAATTGTTACCGACACTCATATATTCAAATATTCGTCAAGTTTTATATACTAAGATGAAAATTCAAGCGTCACGGCATTTTCATTTATGCTTAAGTTTTGTTGGAAGAATATTGTAATTTTAGTGAATCCCATGAATGTAAAATGGGGGAGGAATGTTGGAAAATTGGATAATCGACTCTTTAATTTTTTCTCCCACCTTTCAAATCCTTTTATGATCATAGACGACCTCAATTATACTTTATTTCCTTCGGAAAATCAGTTGAGGAGCTCCGTGATGAATTGACAACCCCAACCTCTTAGGAATTTTACAAATAACTCGAGAATTTTTTAGATTAAATTCATACCATGGTTAAAAATTTACATGGACTAATCAAAGTCATAATAAATATTTTATTGAGCGACGCTTAGACAGTGCTTTTGTGTCAACATCTTGGATGGGTTTCTGGATGGATTCTTGCCTCTATCATCTTTTTGTTAGTAGCTTTGACCTATCATATTTTACAATTCACGCGGAATGATTTTGTTGGGACGTTTAATACGAGGCGTTGAGTGGCCAGAGAGTGAATCTAGAGAAATCGGCGGTGTGCTTTAGTAAAAATATAGCGGCGGCGGATCAGGAATTCTTGGCGGAAATTTTGGGAGTAGGGGTTGTGGGCGTCCATGATAAATATTTGGGCCTCCCCTCTCTGATAGCCCGTTCTAAATTGGCTACTTTCGCTACCTGGAGGAGAAGCTCCTGGCTAGATTGCAGGGGTGGAAGAGGAGAACCCTGTCATGGGAGGCTAAGGAAACATTGATTAAATCAGTAGCATTAGCTTTGCCTCTGCATGTTATGTCCTGTTTTAAACTACCCCTGGCTCTGTGTCGCCTTCTTGACAAGCATATAGCCCGATTCTGGTGGGGGTGGAAGAGGGAAAGTCTAAGATCCGGTGGATTTCTTGGAGGAATTTTTGTAAAAGCAAACATGAAGGAGGTATGGGGTTTCGCCGTTTTGAACACTTCAACCAAGCTTTGTTAGCTAAAATTGGTTGGCATATCCTTGAGGAACCCCAATCCCTTATTGCCCAGGTGTACAAAGGTAAATTCTTCCCCAATGGGTCGTTCCTCACTGCCGAGGCCCGTTCTCGTCCCTCTTAGGGGTGGCAAAGTATCCTCTTCGGTGGAAAATTGTAGGAATCAGGGTTGCGATGGCAAATTGGGAATGGTCAGAAGGCCCCTCTGCTAACATCCAGCTGGATACCCCAACAACATCCCCTTCTCCCAGTTTACAACCCGTGTGTGATTCCTGAGGGTGAGGGATTGAAGGTGGAGGAGGTGATCCAGCAAGGGGAGGGACGATGGAATGATCAAAAACTATGTCAATTGTTTGATCCTTATACCTCTAGAGCCATTAAGACTATCCCTTTGCCGCGCCAGAATATTGAAGATAAATTGATATGGCCCCCGACTTCTGATGGTATTTTCTCAGTTAAATCTGCGTACTACGTCGCGGTGAATATGGATCGTCAGAATGGTCGTTGGAGGGCTTTGGCTAGTTGGATGGATAAGCCTAGTCGGATCAGGCTGTGGGAGGCGGATATTCCTCCGAAGCTTAGGGTGTTTCTTTGGCAAGTCTTTCATAGAATTCTTCCTACTACAGAAGCGTTGCGGGAAAAGAAGGTGGATGTTTTGCCTCGATGTCCGGTGTGCTGGGAGGCATCGGAAACTTTGGAACATATGTTCTTGGAGTGTCCGGTGGCTCGTGCATTGTGGGATCATTCTGGGCTAGCCCACTTGGGTGAAGGTTTGCCTCGCCATACGTTTCCGCTCTTTATGAAGAAATTGTTGGTTGTGGTGCATAACCCTGCTTTGGTGATGTCTGTAGTGGCTGT